GATCATATAATCCACATACACTTCTATTTCTTTGTGCATCATATCATGCAAGAGAGTTGTTGCCGTTCTTTGGTACGTAGCTCCTGCATTTTTTAAACCAAATGGCATGATTGTGTAACAATACGTACTCCAAAGGGTAATAAAGCATGTCTTTTCTTCATCTTCTTTTGCCATTAAAATTTGGTTATAACCTGCGTATCCATCCATAAAGGATAACATCGCATGTTCAGCCGTGTTATCTACCAATATATCAACATGTGGTAGAGGAAAATCGTCTTTAGGGCTAGCTTTATTAACGTCCCTAATGTCGACACACATGCGAACTCGTCCATCCTTTTTAAGGACTGGGACGATGTTCGCTACCCATTCTAAGTAGTTACATACACGAATAAAACCTGCGTCCAACTGTTTTTTTACTTCTTCTTTTATTTTTAATTCGACACCAGGTTCGTTGAAGTTTTTGTTTTACCGGTTTAGAGGTAGGGTTCAAGGGAATGGTATGTTCTGCAATTTCCCTATCTATTCCAGGCATGTCCTTGTATGACCAAGAAAACACGTCTTCGAATTCTCTGAGCGTCGATATGAGGGTCAATCGCTCTTCCGAATTTAGAGTTAAGCCAATTTTAAATTCTGTTTTATTTTTGTTAGTTCCTATATTAACTATTTCAGTTTTCTTCAACGATAGGGTTCTTTTGTTCTCGTTCATTCATTAGTTCAACTAATTTATTAATGTTATCATCTTCATTAGATTGATTGTTATAACATTCGAAAGATTCAAGAGAAGGCATATATACTCGGAAATAGAGCTCATATTATTAAAATCAAAAGAGAATACATCAAGAGAAGAATCATTTTTGGGATCTTCGTAATGGCCACAAGGCCTGGATTTTCAGCTTCTCTAGAGTCTATAATTGATTCATCGTCCGATTTTTCAAATATCTTCCGTTCGCCTGTGAAAATTTTTAGCTTATCGCCTTTGTGATTGGTCCATTTGAAAGATTTCCTCCATCCATACTCAAAAGATTCATTTGAAGGGGTGATTAACGAGGTTGGGTCAAAATCTTCATCTTGAATGGCGTTTTGATTGGTCATTGTAGCGATATGATTTTGCTCAAGTCCAAATAGCAAGTTAAATGCTTGCCTATCATAGCACTGATGAGTGTCATTTATGGAACTCATAGGGTAGTCTTTTAGGGTTATTTCTATCCCTTTTTCATGCTTTCCTCTCTTATTTTTGGTCCTTTTTCCTTAGGTTTCTCATTCTCCTCTTTTCTTTATGGTTCTCGTGTTTTCCTGGTGTTTTCCTTTTATTTGGCTCTTTTTCCTTTTATTTCCTTTCTTTGTTTGCTTGTGTAGGTATATGGAGAATCACCTTTGCAAAGGAATCGAGTTGAGGCCTTAATGATCAAGTAAGGAAGAAGCATTTTGCTAGAGAGGGCTTAGAGAGGCCTTGGAGAGGCCTCGGAGAGGTCTCCAAGATATTTCCAGCACGCCGCGGGCGCGGGTCAGTGGAGCCGCGGGCGCGGGTCAGTGGAGCCGCGGGCGCGGGGTTAAGAAGAGCAAATTGCAAGATTTTGGCAGGAGTTTCCCGCGGTTGCACCGCAGGCTCTCCGCGGGCGCGGGAAATCTGGAGAGGGCGCTCCATCTCAGAGAGACCGCGGCCCCCTGATTGAGTTTTGGGAGCAGGGGATTGGCCGCGAGCGCGGGTCTCTCTTGCCGTGGGCGCGGGTGCTGCCCAAAAAGCCCGCGGAGGGTTCCGTACCCATTTCTCTGCGGCCGCGGATTCATCGAGAGAGACCGCGGGATTCGCCAGTTTCTTCTTTGCCTATAAATAGAGTTGTAATTCCTTTTTAAAAGGGAACTTTTTGATAATATTTCATTAGCTTAGTTTTAGAGAGAGAATTTAAAGAGAGGTTAGAGAGAAATTTTTGGTTTTGGTTTTGTAACTCAACATTTGATCAATCAAGTTTGGATTTCTTCATTTTCAATCATCAATATTAGTGAGAATCTCTTCATTCTTTCATTTCTTACTTACTTGCTATTTGATTTATGCTTGTTGCTTGTTTTTCTTTGGATTTGAATTTGATATTGTTGAATATTTTGATTTCTCTTCGATTTTAATATAGAATGAAGATTAATGCAATTTCTAGTTATTTGTTCTTGAATTTCACCATGATTAGTGAGTAGATTAGTTGCTAGGGAAAGGGGGAAGAATGTTTGATTAATGAATTTGCTAGTTGATTCTCTTTGATTGATTGATTTGTTGCAATTAAATTGGTTCACATAGTTTTGCATGTGATTGATTAGACTAGGAGTGATCAACCTATAAGATTAATCTAGATTGCATTGCAACTCTTAATGACATGAACAATTGAATTGAAAGTTGCTCTAATTGATTGGGTTTGCTTGTGATTCTTCTTGATTTGCCTTTCATAGTGACACCTAGATTGGCCTATAGGAGATAGCATTTGAACTCTCTTGATTGCTACTATTGTTTGTCCATTGCAATACTTGAATTAATTGATTGAGCTCCAAACTAGCATTATCATTGAGCTTACATGTGGAACCCATATCCCTAGTGTTTAGACCTTTGATTTAATTGATTAGACTTGTTTTACTTTACCATAGTGCCAACCATAATCTAAACTCCATCTTCGAGGTAGCTTGACTTAGATTCTAGTTTTCATCATTGCATTCCCTAGGGACCGACCCTTAACTTACCCTATATTCATATAAGGTTGGTTAGGTGTTTACAAATTTAGTTTTACTTGGGGGAAGGGTAGATAACGACCTACATTTTCCTCTTGTCAAAATGGCGTCGTTGCCTGGGAATGCTGTTGGTGCTTAGCTTTTATTGTTGAGTCTACTTCATTTTAATTGAAAAAAAAAATACAAAAAGATTTTGTTTCTTTGGGCTACACTTGTAGCCGTGCTACTAATATTTTCTTTGAAGTTTTGCATGCATAGAGCTCGTGATCGATCCATTGTGCCTTTTGACCCGAAGATTGAAAGGACTCTCTCAAGGAGAAGAATAGCTAATCGATCCTTGGGGTATAGTTCTTCAAGTGAAGAAGAGATTGAAGAAGAGCAAGGCATGGGAGAAAATCCGAGAGTGGCCTTGAAGGAGCTAGGAATACCCGGTGATTATAGGTTTGAGAGCGGCATAGCTCCGCCTACAACACCGACAAATGATTTCGAGATTCGGCCGACCATGATCACCTTAATTGAGAGGAGGCAATATAGTGGGGCTAAGAATGAGAGCCCGTTAAACCATCTTAAAGAATTTGAAAAATATTGCAACACCATCAAAGTCAACGGAGTTTCTCAAGAGTTCATACGCCTCAAGTTGTTCCCCTTCTCTCTCATAGGAAGATCCTTAAAGTGGCTAGATAAAGAAGTGAAGCTCAACTCCTTGAGAACATGGGATGATGCTACAAAGGCCTTCTTGTTCCGCTTCTACCCTCAAAAGAAGACGACGGAGGCAAGAGCCTTGATTCAAGGGTTCAAGCAAAGGCCAAATGAAAGCCTTTACGAAGCATGGGAGAGATACAAAGAGTATCAAAGGGAGTTCCCTCACCACGGAATCCCAACATACCAAGTGGTCCAAATCTTCTATGGCGGTTTAAGTCCCCATGGCAAGTCATGCCTTGATCGGGGGGCCGGAGGTCCTATCATGAACAAGACCGAAGAATAAGTGGTGGACATTATTGAGGACGTGGTGACGTACTATAGAGATTGGCAAGATGGGGAGAGAGACTCTTCAAGCAAGCAATCTTCATTGTACTCGGTGGACAATCTAAATGCGATCAACAACCTTTCCTCTCAAATGACAAACTTGGGAAAGGAGATGACCGCAATCAAAGCCAAGTTGGAGAGCACTTCTTCTTCTTCCCAAGCTTCGAATCTTCCCTCCAAATTTAAGGGGAGAGGTACTCTTTCTAACTCTCAACCCCCTCCCTCTTCACATAATATGCCTATGGGTTGTTTGTTTTGTGATGCATGTGGATCGTATGATCATGGCTCTAGTAATTGTCCTAATGAATGTGTTGATGAGTTCGATAACAATGAGAGTGAGCATGTGAGTTATGTGTCAAATAATAATGCTCAAAGGTTTGATAATCAAAGAGGTCAATGGAATAGGAATTACCAAAACCAAGGCAATTTTGACAACTATAATCAAGGTGGTGGTTATAGAAACCAAGGGAAACAAGGGAACCAAGGTTCTCGTGGTAGCTATAATAACCAAGGTTATAGTGGCCAAAATCAAAGCCAAAATTATGGTGATCAAAACCAAGGTTATGGAAATCACAACCAAGGTAGTGGTAACCATAATCAAGGTGGTGGTAACCATAATCAAGGTTATGGTCAAAATCAAAATAGGGGTACTTGGAACAACCAAGGGAAGGGCAATTTTCAAAATAATGCTCAAAGAGGTCCCCCACCCGGATTTTTTCCAAGGACTCAAGGAGAAAATTCCTATTCACAACCTTCTTCACCTAGGACCAATTTGGAAGAAATAATTGAGAATCAAACCAAATTGTTGAACACATACATGGTCGTTAGTGATAAGAAGTTTAATGAAATGATGACCCACAATAAAATGCTTGAAAACCAAATTTCTCAACTTGCTAATGCTTTGAAAGATCATGCAAGCCCTTCTTCTTTACCTTCCCAAGGTCTTGATCCCAAGAAACACGTGAATGCTATTGTTACAAGGAGTGGTAAGGTTCTTGAAGAGAGATTACCTAGGAAGGGTGAGGATAAGGAGGTTCCTAAGGAAGCCTTGGTTTAGAATGAGGGGGATAGGGCATCATTGGATGAGGCTGTGGTTGAGACACCTAGATAGGTGAGAGTAGAGAAAGAAATTGTGAAACCCAAGCTCCCTTACCCACAAATTGTAAGGGAGATTTGGATGAACAATTTTGAGTGGGAAAAGGACTTGTGAGGTTGTGGAAACTATCAATTTGACCGAAAATTATAGTGTTATCATCATGAACAAAATGCCACCCAAATTGAAAGACCCCGGAAACTTCTCCATCCCTTGTGACATTAACAAGATGCAAATTGATAATGCCTTATGTGACTTGGGAGCTAGTGTGAGCATAATGCCATATTTGGTTTATCAAAGGCTTGAACTAGTGGAACTCTTACCTTCTAACATTACCTTGCAATTAGCCGATAGGTCAATCAAGTTTCCAAAAGGTAAGGTAGAATATGTTCCATTGAGGGTTGGGAAGTTTGTGTTCCCGGTGAATTTTATTGTGTTTGAAATGGATGAAGATGCTACCATTCCAATCATTTTAGGTAGACCCTTTCTTGCTACCTCGGGTGCTATGATTGATGTGAGGAGTGCAAAGATTTCCCTTAAGGTAGGAGATGAGGTCATTGAATTTGATTTGAATGAAAGCATGAAGTATCCATCTTCTTCTATAGAATTGCATGATGATTGATTCACTTGATCATGTTGTGTCTTCCATGCATGAGCATTTGCTCACCTCTAACGATGCTCTTGAGAATATTTTGTTGAACAAGGATAAAGTAGGTACACCATGCAAGGAAGTGGCATTCTATGAAGGATTGCTTAATGGAAGCATAGAGGAAGTGGATGAGAAAATGTGCTTGAAAATCTCAAGCCAAGAAGCTTTGCAAGCGGCCACATCAAAAGAAAGTAATGGTGTGCCTATGGTAGAGCTCAAACCTCTACCATCACACCTTAGGTATGAGTTCTTGGACCCTCATTCCACTTACCCCGTGATAGTTAGTGCATCCTTGAGCGTGAGCCAAGCTCAAGCGTTATGTGGTGTTTTGAGAAAGCACCAAGGTGCTTTGGGGTACACAATTGATGATCTTAAAGGTATAAGCCCCGCCTTGTGCCAACACCACATAACACTTGAGGAAGGCGCCCTTCCTTCTATCGAACGACAAAGAAAACTACATCCCCAAATGGGAGAGGTAGTTAAGAAGGAGATCACCAAGCTATTGGATGCGGGAATCATATTCCCCATCTCTAGCTCAAGGTGGGTCTCCCCCGTGCATTTCATTCCAAAGAAGGGGGGCATGACCGTGGTTGAGAATGAGAAGGGTGAGCTCATTCCAACTAGGACGGTCACGGGTTGGCGGATGTGTATAGACTATAGACGTCTAAACACATCCACCAAGAAGGATCACTTCCCTCTTCCATTTATTGATCAAATGCTTGAAAGACTAACAAGGCACAGGTTTTATTGTTTCCTCGATGGATATTCGGGATTCTTCCAAATCCCCATCCACCCCGATGATCAAGAGAAAACTACCTTCACATGTCCTAATGGGACCTTTGCCTATCGAAGAATGCCCTTTGGGTTATGCAATGCACTCGCTACATTCCAAAGGTGCATGATGAGTATTTTTGAGGATATGTTGGAGGAGGAAATGGAGGTTTTCATGGATGACTTTTCGGTGGGGGGTGTCTCATTTGAGGAGTGCCTTGTGAACCTTGAGAAGTGTTTGGAAAGATGTGTTAAGGTCAATATTGTTTTGAATTGGGAGAAATGCCACTTCATGGTGGAGGAAGGTATAGTGCTTGGGCACAAGATTTCAAATAGAGGCATTGAGGTGGATAAGGAAAAAATAGAAGTGATTGAGAAACTTCCGCCTCCGGTGAATGTCAAGGGTGTGAGATCATTCCTTGGTCATGAAGGTTTCTATAGAAGATTCATCAAGGATTTTTCACTTATTTCTAAGCCCCTAAATGACCTTCTTCAAAAGGATGTTGAGTTCATTTTTGATGACAAATGCTTTAAGGAATTTCATAGATTGAAGAAGGCCCTAATCTCCACTCTTATTGTTCAAGCCCCAAGGTGGGATCTTCCTTTTGAATTGATGTGTGACGCAAGTGATTGGGCTATTGGAGGTGTTTTGGGACAACTTGTAGACAAGAAGCTTCATGTGATTTACTATATGTCCAAGACACTCAATGGGGCTCAAAAGAACTACACAACAACGGAAAAGGAATTTTTAGCAATTGTGCACTCTTTTGAGAAATTCCGTTGTTACTTGTTGGGTTCCAAGACCATAGTCTTCATGGATCACGCGACCCTCAAGTATCTATTTGCCAAGAAAGAGTCCAAGCCTAGGTTGATTCGATGGGTGCTTGAATTACAAACTTTTGAGATTGAGATTAGGGACAAGAAGGGTGCGGAGAATGTTGTGGCGGACCATCTTTCTCGCATTGAGGGTGATCAAATTCATGATGATGGTACACCTATTGAGGATAAAATGCTTGATGACTTCTTATATGCCATAGAGGTGAAGTAACTCCAATGGTATGCCGACTTGGTGAATTTTCTAGCATGTGGGGAGTTTCCACCCTCTTTCTCCAAGAACCAAAGGAAGAAAATCAAAAGGGAGGCAAGACATTACTTATGGGATGATCCCATCCTATACAAACGAGGGATTGATGGCCTACTTAGGCGTTGTGTTCCAAATGAAGATGTGCCTAGTGTTATAAGGATGTGCCACTCGGACCCTAGTGGTGGGCATATGGGTGTTTCCAAGACCGCTACCAAGGTTCTTCAATGTGGTTTGTGGTGGCCGCATCTCTTCAAGGACTCATGGAGCTTTGTGAAGTCATGTGACCGATGTCAAAGGGTTGGGAATATCTCCAAGAGGATTGAGATGCCTCAACAACCATTCTTGAGTTAGAGGTGTTCGATGTTTGAGGGATTGACTTCATGGGACCATTCCCATCTTCATATGGTAATCAATTCATACTTGTGGCTGTGGACTATGTTTCTAAATGGGTTGAGGCCATTGCCTCCCCTACTAATGACCGAAAAGTAGTTTTGAAGTTGTTCAACAAAATCATCTTCCCAAGGTTTGGCGTGCCTAAGGCTCTGATAAGCGATAATGGATCTCATTTTGCTCACAACGCCTTCCAAAAGATGTTGAGGAAACATGGAGTGCATCAACAGTTCGACCTTCCATATCATCCTCAATCGAGTGGCCAAGTCGAGGTCTCCAATCGTCAAATAAAGCTCATTCTTGAGAAGACGATTGCAAGGAATAGAAAGGATTGGTCGAACAAGTTAGATGATTCTCTTTGGGCTTATAGGACGGCTTTTAAGACGTCGATTGGTACCACTCCATATCGCCTTGTCTATGGAAAATCGTGTCATCTCCCGGTAGAGCTTGAACATCGTGCCTTATGGGCCATCAAGAAGATAAATTTTGACTTAGCTAGTGTGGGGGAGAAGAGGTGGTTGGATCTTCATGAGCTAAAAGAACTTCGACTTGATGCTTACGATTGTGCTAGCACCTACAAGGCTCGCTCCAAGGAGGTTCATGACAAGTTGATTGAGAAAAAAGAGTTTTGTGTAGGTGACAAAGTCCTCCTCTACAATTCAAGGATGAAATTGTTCCCCGGAAAGATCATGTCAAGATGGAGTGGACCATTCTTGGTGAAAGATGTTTTTGATAATGGTGTCGTGGAGATTTCTCCTTTAAACTCCTCATCTTCATTCAAAGTTAATGGTCATCGGCTCAAGAAGTACTATGATAGAGTGTTTGTTGGACTTGTTCACAAAATGATTCTTTTTAGGCCACCATGAGATGGTGGTTCACGTCGAGCTAACGAAATTAACCAAAAGCGCTTACGGGAGGCAACCCGGATTCTCATATCATTTCTCTTTCCTTTCTTTTCTTTTATTTTTCCTTGATTGGGTTTTGATTTTATTTTTGAGTTGGTTTTGTGTTTGTCTTGTAGGTCTCCCATTATCATCACTTGTTGGAAAGAAGGGGTTTGAAGAAGAGTTTAGAGTGCAGGGGAGAGGGCTCCCCGAGGGCTAGGAGAGACCTCGGGGGCATTTTCACCTCTTTGAAGCAAAATTGAAATATCATTCCACGGACTTCCCGCGGTTGCCCCGCGGTCTCTCCGCGGGCGCGGGAGGTTAAGGAGAGGGCGCGCCATGTTTAGAGAGGGCGCGGAAAATCAGGAGAGGGCGCGGTCCTCATCAGGTATTAAAATTCTAAAAACTCTAGCAGGTCCCCGCGGTTGCCCCGCGGTCACTCCGTGGGCGCGGGAGATTTGCCGCGGGCGCGACCCTCATCAGGTATTAAAATTCTGAAAACTCCAGGAGGTCCCCGCGGTTGCCCCGCGGTCTCTCCGTGGGCGCGGGAGATTTGCCGCGGGCGCTACATTTTCGAGAGAGGGCGCGGCGATCTGGGTTTATTACCCGGGCACGCTCCTCTTCTCTCTCTCTCCTCTCTTATTTCCTCTTCTTCTCCTTATTTTTCCCCTTTCTTTCTCTACCTCCTCTCAAACCCTAACCCCAAAACATCAATTTCTCACAAATTTCTTCACCTTTTGCCCAAATTTTACACAAATTCTTTCATATTCCTCCATTTTCAACACTCCTACTCTTTTTTTTCTCGTGCTTTATCGGAAAATTTCGGGTCTTTGAAGTGCTTTGAGTTTAATTTGAGTCTCCAATCTTGGTATACTTCTAACCTTTGTAATATTTTTGTCAATTTCAATTGATTTCTTTACATTGGGTTGTTTACCTTGAATTTGAGCATGATTTTTGTTTTTTATGGTTGATTTATGGAAAATTTGGTATATTTGGGTGATTGTTTCTTTTTCTTGTTGATTCATGATTATATTGATGAATGATTCTTGATATTGTTTTTTGTTGTTGGATTTTTGTTGTTGTGTTGGTTGGAACAGGTACCTTGTCGTTTGTGGTGGTTTGGTTGGATTTGTAAGGAGGTTTGTGAGTAATTTTTGGTGGAAGTTGTTTTGTTTGAGGAAGTTTGTTGTGTTTTTGTGAATTGTGTGAATTTTGTTAAAATGGATTTGATAAGAAGAGTCAAAAGTAGAAAGAAGCGCTCAAACAAATCCCCCGGCCAATCTTCTCAAGGCCAATCCTCAAACCCTCAACCCCAACCGCATTCCACAACTCAAGATGATGCTCCTCCTCCTCCTTTACCCCCTCTCAAATTTTGGAATCGGTCTAAACAAACCCCCATCTATAACAAAATGAAAGACCGGAAGTTTAGACCCTCTCGGCATTACTTTCGTGAGAATATGGCCAAGCTAGGCATTGAAAATGACCTTGACATCCTTCTCGATAACCTAAGCTTGGGTGAGTTTCTAAAATCGGCCCCTAGAACCTATTTGGAGCCTTCCATTGAGTTTTTCTCCACATTTGAGTTCAATAAGGTGGGGGAAACCGATTTTATTATTTCCTTCCAACTCTTCAATGTCAAACACACCATGAACCTAGCCGAGTTCAATGTAGCCCTTGGTTTCAACCCCTATGGTGATATCTTCGAGCCCCTTATCTCCCTAGTCCAAACTGAGTATAATGAGGTTTCTTGGTGGAAAACCATAGCCAACAGGAGGGAGTTTGATTCGAAGAAGTCCCTTGCTAGTGAAATTATCCATCCGGCCCTTAGGATCCTTCATAGAATTCTTGGGTACTCGGTCTTTAATAAGCAAGATTTGGGGAAGTTATCTCGGGAGGAGATTATGGTGTTATGAATGGCTACCAAGCCGGAGTTAGGGTCAAGGATTAATTTTGGCTATATCTTCATGAATTGTTGTAAGGAGATAATGCATGGGGTCAAAACGGGGGAAATTCATTGTGGGGGCATGGTGACACGTCTTGTGTCGTATTTCAAGCAAGAGGGGTTCTTGAAGTCTTGCACTCCGGTTGGAAGGAGTGAAGACGTGTGGATTAGTTTGAAGCAAGTTAACACTTTGCGTTTCATAACTAGCACTAGGAGAGTCGGCACTTACTCTTGGCTAGTGAGAAATACCCACCATTGCCTACTCCCTAACCCGACCGCCACCTCCATCCTTCGTGAGGCTAGAAGCATTTGGATGGTCCCTAGGGACAATAGGAGGATTGATGATGAGATGGAGGAGGATGATGAGATTGATGGGAATGATGAGCAAGAGGAAGAAGGAAGAGGAGAAGAATATAATGAAGGGCAACAACAACCGCCACTACAACAACAACATGAGCATTTTCATGATGATGCTCAACGAAGAAGAAGAGAAATGAGACATCAAAGACAACTAGATTTCCAAGGAGATGCTTATCTCCGAGAGATGGAGGCCATGAGAGCCAACATGGAGCGCATGCAATTGAGCATGCAAGGTATGTACTCGGACCACCAAACTTTGTCTTATCAAACTAGCACCTTGTATGACGCTAGTGTGCGTAGGGAGGAGATCACACCTCTAGTCAACTACCCTCATGTGCCGCCGTGGGGGAGGGCCGGTACCTTCATGGGGCGGTGACAACCTCCCTACGTACCCATATTGGCCCGGGGTGGAGGACCCCGATGTGCCAAGGCGCGACTTCCCACCTTATGATTATAGGGTCTCGGGGGGGAGTGATTATCGGGGTGATCCCGCATACTACTATGTTCACCCCCATCACCCTGAGCCCCTTGTTCAGCCTGAGCCCTATGACCAATTAACCCGATCCCAACTTGACATATTCCGAGGTCACTATGGTTTTCCTCCCGGTTACACCGGAGGTTGGGATACGGGTGATGATGGTGCCGGCCCTAGTGGCCAATAGTCCCCTTTTGCATGTTTGTTTCCCTTTTTGTTCTCCCCTTTCCCTATTTTGCATGTTTATAGGCATCGCGGTCGATGCCTTCATTTTGTGAGGGGGGAGGGTCAAAAAGGATGTTTTATGTTGGTTTGGGGATGCACCTGGGGCTCGGTGGGAAGTCTTTGATAAAAATTTTGATGATGATGGTTTCTCTAGGTTTTTGTATATAATTTGTATCTAAGTGTTTTATTGTTTGCTTTTGTTTGGAAGTTACTAACAATTTCATTTTGTATATATAGCCTTTTTCTTTAACTCACCTTGCTCGTAGCCTATACTTTGTATTGCGGAACCTTTTGGAGAAGCACATTCCTACTCCTTGGGTAATTTAATTTAGCACGGATGCTTGGTGAGGCCTTTCTTATTTTACCTCTTTATTTTTACTTCTTCATTTTCTTGGTTGCTTAGATTAGGATTAGATTTAGGAGAAGTTGAACGGTTCGAGGATGTATGAATTTAACACCTAGTGTGTTTGGGGTCTTTGGCGATGTGGCCATTAGACCGCTTGTATGTCGACTGGGATAAACGTGTTATGATTGCGTCTTTGCCCTTTTCCTCTTTCCCTTTCTTGTCCTTGTCTAAGTTTTCCATCTTCTTCTTTTCTTTTCTTTCCTTTTCTTTTAATTTTGTTTGTGTGCATAACTTTTTGAGGCTTTATTTTCACTCTTTCTCTTTTTGAATTTTGGACTTGTATCCAATGGACTTTTGCTTTTAGGTAATAATGGTATGCACGATTTGAGATTACGTTTGGTTGATTCTAGGATAAAGCATGCTAAGATAGTTGTCCAGAACTAGGGGATCATGGAACCGGATTCTTCTCGTTTGTGGCATGTTGGTAGTTGCTCCTTATCTTTGATTTGACACCCTTAGTGAGTCTTTGTTACAACCATGTGAGATTTATATTTGTTCAAGCTTTCATCATACTCTTGCATGGCCGGAATGGATCCTTGATTTTCGCAAACCTAATCTAGAATCTTAGCGTATGATTCCTAAGACCGTGACCGAACTACCTACGGAGGACAAAGGCAACTTTTCGGGGAGGTACTTTTCTCTTTCTAGGATAGTCCCTTTTTGGTTTGGGATACATTTGCCTACTTGTTACCCCTTTGAACCCTTTTCCCTCTTTTCAATCCGCATAATTAGATATCTTGAGCCTTTTGTTTCGTTCTCCTTCTTTTTGGTTTTTGTGAAGCAAGGGTCAATGTTTGGTGATTGTGGTCTATGACGTTGGGGTTTGGTTCAAATTGGTACGCATAATTGAGTTGTTTATATTTGGTAAATAATGGAAAATGCTTATGTAAAAGTCGTCCTTAGTAAAAAAGGCAAGGACTAATGCTTTTAAGGAGTTCAAGAAATACAAAAAAATTTATAAATGAGAAAATGCAAAAAAAAAAGAAGAAAAAGAAAAACCATAAAAATTCAAGTGTCTTTCTCCTCTATATGCATTGAGGACAATGTTTCTTTTAGCTTGGGGGGAAAGCGCTTGCGCTTTTTGTTCTAATGATTGTAGATTGTTGCTTTGAATAAGCTTGGGGGTGTTAATACGTTTTTGTTTGGTGATTACTTAAGTTTGGTGTTGAGATTTGGCCGGTCTTTGCTTCACAATTTAGGATAACCACCAAATTTTAAATTTTAGCCTACCTTAACCCTTCTTGCCTTGCGTTACAACCTTGGGGAAGACCTTTGGACCTAGGAGTTGAGTCTTTCATCGGTGGAGGGAATCATAGGTTGTAGGCTAAGGAAAGGGGATGCGAAATCAAGATGTCGAGTAGCCTATAAATTTGATCTTTTTCCGGTTCCTTCGCGGAATCTATGAGATGCTTTCTAAGGGGAGACATGAGATTAGTAGGGGGAACGCGGTAAGACCGTTTGGGATGAAAGTGGAATGTGATAACTAGTTCCTATGCTTAGCATATTTATGTTTCAATCAACCTTAGGTATCTTATAACGTGCATACCATAATTCACTTTAGAAAGGTTTTTATTCATTTGAATTATAGTCTCTTTATAAATTCCATTTCGTAAAGATTTTGTTTCCTTTTTCCTCTTTATTTTCCTCTTCTGGTTTGCCTCTTGGGGGTTTGTTGGAGAGTTATGGGTAAACTCTTAGGATACCCTTACGAGAGTGTCACTCGTCCTCTAGAGCGATCTAGGGGTTTAAATGGCTTGTTGTAGCTAAAAACAACCGTGATTCCTACGATAGTGAATCTTAGTGTAAATTCTC